ACACACACACACACACACACACACACACACACACACACACACACACAGATTAATAAATTTAGACATTTTTAGTTGGCACTAAAATTATTACAATATTATTTAAAGAATTATAAGTACATTCAGAATAAAAAAGTATCTTTATCTTATAATATTAAATAATGCAACAAATATTCTTTTATATAAAAAATGTAATTAAATAAATTTTTGAAAAAATTATTACTTGCGGTTAAATATATGAGGCATTCCATGCCAAATCGACTTGGGTTTGATCGTGGACCTCTCGGATTCGGTCGGCGATTTTTTATGTTATTGTTTCAACTTTAAAATGCACTTAGATTTTTTTAAATAAAATTGATTTAGTTATAATTTTTTAAACCGACATATCGATGGCCACAGTTTAAAAATCTGAAAAAATTCTCAAAAATCCAGTGTCAGAATTCGAATTGGACCCTTCACAGAATGAGAAAGGTTCCAGATTCGTACTCTGGCTGAGGTAATATTTTTTGCAATAAATTTAATTATTTAAATGAGATGCTTATATATAAGTATCAAAGATTACATCAATTTATAAAGATCAAAATCTTTGGTTAAAAGAGCGTCTTGACGATAATCGAACCAAATCAAGGTCGTATTGTCTTGACAATTATAATGGCCAGAAGAGTCGATTAATACTTCCATTGCTGTTTATTATGTAATTGGCGAAGTAAATGTAATTTATTCGCCAGTCACATCGGTTTAAAATAATTCTAGTTTATGCTAGAAAGGGACTTGTATTCTTTATCCTGAAGATTTCAAGTTAATCGAACTATCCGTTTCCGAGATATCGTGGTCTCCAGGTAAAAAAATACTACGAGAAAAACGCGTTTAAAGTTTCAAGTACAGTTAACTATCAAATTTTAAGTACTTACAGCTGTTTGACGCTAGTCGGTTATTTCAGGGCCATAAAGTAGACCTTCTTCATCTTCATAAAAGGCCTGTAGTGCTGTTAATTCGTCCTTTCGTGCAACTCGAGCCTCTTGAGTAGTTTGGGCGGACACTCTCGCAGGTTTCTTCAACTGCTGACTGTTGTGATAATCAACGAATAATTTAGCTTGCAGACCAATAGTTACGTCCATTATTGTCTTGAAAATCATATTAAATCCTTTATTAAAAATGCTGGGTACGAAGTAATTTCAATTGTTTTGGAACCACAATGAAGATGCTTAGGCGCGATGCGCCAAATTGTAGAATTGAAACACTTGTTGCATTTTGCTTATACACACACAATAATATATGTTGCTTATACACACAAGTACAGAAGGCATTGAAATGCTGTCCTCTTCATATCTAAAGACTTCGTATCCCAACCGGCATACCTGAACCGGCGCGAATTCGAAGGGATGCGCGTTCCGTTTTCTACCTACGTTTCTGTCAAGTAAACGGTCTCTAGCCTAAAAAAAATTCTCGAATTTTGGCATAATATTTTAAGAACATATTTTAAAGACCTCTAATTTTTGAAATATGACAAAAATTAATTTTTTTAACTCGACAACCGAAAATATAGTCTTGAACTCTGTGAACACACACACTCTCTCTCTCTTTCCCCCCCTCCGTCTTCCTCCCTCTCCTTCTCTCCTTCCGCTCTAAAGAACTTCTCTGTCAATTCATACGTATTGCATAAGTTTGTATAAATTAATTAAATTTAATAAATTATTAGATTTATTCGTGTTTTATCATTATTTTATTACATTATGGATTGTGCTGAAATATATCTCGGTAACACGACTAAATATCTCCGACAAAATATCTTCGACAAAATAACTCGGGAAAAATATCTCACCTCGAAATATTTCTCCGACACAATATTTTCGACAAAATATCTCACAAAATATAAAATATTGAGCTATCCACACATTTTATTTTAAGCTTTATGAGCTTTAATACTGTATATCTCAAAAATTAGAGCAGTTAGCCTTATAAAACCTAATAATTTTTTGTTTAGCGGAAAAAATGCTACCAGAAGCCACAGTTAAATCAAAGTAAAAATTATGAAAATATATATTATAATTCCCTACATCAATATTCTTACCATTGATTGTACAGGGATATTGTGTCACGCTCGGTTTCACGTAGTCTTGTAGTGGATTGTATTCCATCGTGTATCGGCGTCGTACTGCGAAGTCTTATTGTGATATGTTCTGGCTGTTTATTAGTAAGCATTCGATCGTGTGTCAGAGCAGTCCGGCTGTAATTATGCCTTTGAAATTTATAACTAGTATATAACTAATAATAGAGTGGAGCCTCCCGCAGGAGAGCGGAACCTACTGCCTCCACGCATACACTTTCCACGCGAAACATGGGTTTACAACTTTCCACGCGTGGAAAGTCCACGCATGTATTTTGAAGGCACACTATGTGTCTAGTTTAATAATAGTGGAGCCCCCCGCAGGGGGGCGGAACCTACTGCCTCCACGCATACACTTTTCACGCGAGACGAGTTGTTACATGGGTTTACAACTTTCCACGCGTGGAAAGCCCACGCATGTACTTTGAAGGCACACAATGTGTCTAGTTTAATAATAGTGGAGCCCCCCGCAGGAGGGCGGAACCTACTGCCTCCACGCATACACTTTCCACGCAAAACAAGTTTGCAATAAACGCCTTATGTTCAGCTATATTTGTTATATTTGAGAAATTATTTTTCGGCGAGATATTTTGTCGGTGAGACATTTTGTCCGAGATATTTTGTCGGATATATTTTGTCCAATATCAATTGTTACGCAGCCATATATCTCTAGGACGCCGAATCTCAAGAGCAATTTAAAATTAAATTATCTCAAAATAGCACCGATGACTTTAGAAAAACCACTAGTGGCTTCAAATCCTACCCATATTTGAACAACTCGTTCTCCCGTAATCCATTATTTAATCATAATAGGCGCAAGTTCAACAAGTGCATTACAATACGTCTTGTTACATACAACGCAATACTTCTACCGACTTTAAATTTTTTGCAAATCAACCTGAACATTAAAAAATAAAAACTTAAGAATTGCCTAATTCGTAAGTTGACAATATTTCAAAGAGTAGTACCTCGAAGAATCTGGAGTGGCTATAATAATAATAATCTCCATAATGGCAACAGAAACTGCGTGAATTAAAAGTTCATTTCAATGTTTTATCTTTGTAATCTTTGCTCAATTAGAGACAGAAGATAATCAAAAGTTTCAGGAGATATCTTAAATTAGATTAATCATTATTATTAAATAATACAATCAATTATTAAATTTAAAAAAAATATTAAATATTAATATATTATAATTATTAATTATAATTATTAATTTATTATATTTATTTATTTTATTTAATTTATTTTTATTAATTTATTTTTTTTTCTTGTAAAGAAAAGAAATTATATTTATATTACTAACTAATACTTGAAATAAGCCTTGAACTCTTGATCAGTTAATACTGGGACTATTATTTCCACATAATTTTGCAACTTAGACACCTATTTCTTTTTCGAATATTTATATTCAAAAATTCAAATTCTTCATCATCGCTTTCAGATATAATAATGAATCTATTGACTTTTGTACTATATGTGCTACTGCCATTAATAAATTTTTTCGACTTTGTTCTATGATTTAAAACATTTAAAATCAGCTGTCAGGAGGCGCCATGACGTTGCACCAATGTCGACACGAGCTCCATGAACACACATCCTATACCTGCCCGTTCTAGACTGGAGGATGAGCCGACTCTCGGCTCATCCGAGTGAGTGGTGTAGACGGGTAAAAATCTATAGTTTATGTATAGTTTATGTCACGTACACTATAGAAGGCCGATGAGCCAAGAGTCGGCTCATCCTCTAGTCTAGAACGGCTGCCTTCGAATTCCCCACCCGAGTGACCCGAGTGCTAAAAAACCTACAACATATGTTACGTGCACTATAGATTTTCAGCACTCCGGTGTGGAATCTGAACACACCCCTATATTTGATCGATCAAATACATATCGCGGCAGATTACATTTTGTTTCAAAATGGTCAAATCCTTTTCACGTAGAATATAGTAAACCGAAAAAAGAAAAGATTGACGGGACACGGGACGATTTGTTTGTATAAAAGTCGCTTTTTATAAAAAAGATAAATTTTACTATGGCTTTTGGATTGACCCAGTGGTTGATGTCGTTTGCAATATTTTTAATCGTTCTGACAATTATCACTTGGTCCGCGGTACATCTGGGCAAGAAAGATCAGAACTCCACGGATATTATTATGAGATTTCTCGACATAGATAATTATTCAATTAAACGTGAGAAGTATGTTTGTGAAAATAAATATATGTTTACTTCTACTCCGTAAAGAAAGTGCCTTTTTATCTACACATATCTCATTTTTTCAGTAAATCGTTTCATTCCGCTTCATTGTCTAACGCTTCGGTATTATTCACGAACGATCAAGGCTCTGAGATACCAGATAGTGCGCAATTTTACGAAATATTTCGAGCCTTTTACTCGACCGAGGGTAGCGCTGTTAATAGCTCGAATTACGATACTGTAACAGCGACATCTGCACCCTCTGTCGTTGAGAATGATTCAATGTGGATCGATGATACTACGATTACGCCATATAATACATCTACTGATAATAAGACTTATATATTATTAGATGATCGTCAAAACGTTAGCGGAAAAGTTATAATATTGTAAGCATAAACTTTTTATTTGCTAATGCATCAACTATTATACTCACACAGTTATGCTTAAATCGGATTCTCGGATTGGATATGGACTCTAATATTTAAATTTTTAAATAATTTTACAGACCAGACCATATTTCGCAAACAACACGTTCGGCGTTAACGCATAATGCGAAATTATTCGATGTGAATAAATTGTGGAAAGATTTGAGTCAATCTGCCGGAACGAAACTGTCGGAATTTTTTCGGGGTGCAAAAAACGAAACATTGGATACGTTTGCAGCTTTTTCATTCACACGAAAGTTGTTTGACGCAAAACAATTAAATATGACAGAACGGGCAAAAACGATACGTGAAATAGGGGGACTTGAAACATCGACAAAAACTCTTACAAAGTAACAATTATGTCATCAGTTACATATATGTCGTTGTATATTTAAGCACGTGTGTGTCGTTTTGTACATACATTTATGACTACTTTGTATTTGCTGGGAATGGATGCAATAAATGGAAATTAATTATTTATACAATTTTATGACTGTTAAAGATAAATAAAACAGGCCAGCTCCGGAGCTCGAGGTTGACCAGGTTTGACCAGGCCTGTAGCAAAACGTCGGTGGGTTTTATGACACCAGGGCGTCATAAAATTTAAGACCTGAAGATTTTAGTTCTAGCTTATAGCTTATAATAAATCTACAGCACGTTTTTAAATATTTCTTTAAAAACAAAACTTATAAGAGACATTCTTCTATCTAAAAGGGATTAAGTATTAAGTATTGCAATCCAAGAGAAACTCTCGAACTTCGTAATCCTTAAAATAATCGTTAATCCTTTTGCTAAGGCAATGTCAACCGAATAGCGATTATGACTGCATTCCGCGATATTCACTGTCAGTACTGAAAATCTATATTTTTCTATATTTTACGTCACGTATACAATAGATTTTCAGTACTGACAGTTACTGACAGTAAATATCGGAATGCAATTTAACCTATGTAGTATGGAAATGTCTCTAGCTTACGTCTCAGAACAATCATGAATCATGATGCACCCTTTAGTTAAAGCCCGGGCACATAGAAAAACTTAAGTAGTGAGACGTTAGCAGTAAACAAATTAGTCATTCACAGTCAAGAAACTTAAGACAAAACGTAAGCAGTAGCGAATCCATACCATTGATTTTTTCACTGCTTAAGTTTTTCTATGTGCCCGGGCCTTTAATCCACCATTTTAACCTAGGTGTATAGTCACCTGGGGTGACTTTTGTGCGCCTATAACAATGAGAAATCGAAGCTCAATAACAGTTACAGTCTTCTTTACTGATTGAGAATCCTAACTTTTTTTATTTTTCCTTACTTTTTTTAGAAAATATTGAATAAATCTATATACGTACATAATGATCTCAAATATTAATAAATCGTAGAATTATCAAGATAGTAGTTAATAATAGTGACTAGATTGGAGCATAAAAAATATCCCAGGTGATTGTTTGGGGGAAAAAAACTAGGTGACACTATCCCGAAGGATTGACTCTTTGCATTGAAGATAAAATTTTTCAAGTATAAAAGAAAAATAAAATTTATACGAAGACAATTTGTTCTGTCTGCATCAGCTTTTTACTATAGACGATTTCTAATAAAAATTTGTGTTATATAGGATTCTTTATGTAACTTTACAAAATTTTTACATATAAATTTTTAAGTTTTTCACAATTTTCATATAATTTTATAATTTTTTCAGAAATTATATTATTCTTTATAAAAGTGTAAATTCTGAAATGTAAGCTAGAATTCTCATTTTATAATTTTCGAAGAAAACTTATATAAAATCTGAAAAAGTTTAAGAAATTTTTTTAAAGAAATGTTCATAAACTTAAGATATTAAAAATTCTTAAAAATGTTATAGGATATTATAAGAGATTTTTTTCACCCGAGATACTTAGTATCAAGTATCAATAGACTGTTTCTTTTACGCATCGTTATATACATCCGGGGTTAGTACTGACAAGAGTAATCGAGTGTAACCGGCGCTAGTATCGACGAACCATTTCATGGATGCTGGCTACAGTTGGCGTTTGGGTAGAGTGAAAGGTTTAGTAGCGTCTTTCTCGTGAGAGTGGCGTGTCCTATAGCCGATATTCATAGTCACTTTTTATGTTTAAGACCGTTTTAAGATGTCATGAACCAATCACAGCCGTATTAGCATCTTAAGACATTACTTTTAAGACGATCTTGAAATAAGAACCGACTGTGAAATATGAATACCGGTCTATGACACGTATTTTGCGCGTAACACATAACCGCGTAACCAATCAGAAGTTCAATCCCGTGTAACAGAAATTGTGTAACGCTTTTGATTGGTCAATATACTGTTTGGTTATATACTATGACTGTGATCTGATTCATGCTCACAGCGTTGAAACCATCGCTCTATCTTCGTTTAATAATCGATGTGCAACGAAGACAGAATCGGACCGCAGTTTATAATATTGGAATATACTATAATATTGGAAAATATGTGTTATGGGACGTTATCCTAAGTTTTGTTAATTAGCCGCTTTTCGTTTCTTTATGCCTATTTCAATTCTTTTTGTCAAGTTTTGTCTTGTGAGCAATTTTGCACTTTTGTATTACGTCTGAATCATAAATTAAAATGATATCAGTTGCTAAAATATATGTGAATGGGACGCAGTGAAGTATTATACTGGAATGTGAACTCCTCGGGCCACAAGAAGAAAGAGACAGGTTATTGCGTCCATTTCTGTCTCTGTTTAGCGAACTTCTGATTGGCCAATGGTTCAATTGCTCTCGAAAAGTGCAGCAACAGAAAAGGACGGTCTGGCCATAATTCTCCATCTCATTTTGTACTAGAGTACATCAATAGATTCACATTCCAGTATAGTATATATTCACTGACGGGACGTTGGGGGACGTCAAGGAATCATATTACGAAGGGAACGAACTGACGAACTACGAAGTAATCCGTGCTATGAGCAGGTAGAAGGATCTCTCGATCCTTCTACGGGCTACAGGGTCTGGTTTAGTCTAAGGTCTAGTCTAAACATTCTGCAGATAAAGGCGACGATTGGAATCCTTTATCGTTTATCTTTTTAATTTTATTGCGTGGTTTTTGTTGGCTTATATCAACAAACGATTGCGTCACTCAGGTTTAGAGAGGGAAAAAGTCTAATGTGAAGGAAGATCCAGATTTCACATTTTCGCGAAAGAAATCGATTCCGACCAGCGATAGTAGTGTAAGTGATATCTGGATAATGAACGCGAAAGGCATGGTGTAGATCAATCAAGCTTCTTATTCCGGCTTATTATCGTTACCGTCGCACGCGTCGCGATGTCAGTGTGCGCGAAACGAGACGCGCGTTGCGTCAGTTGCGTGAGAAACGAAACGGAGAGTACGGAGACGAGAAATCGTTGCTGCGAGCTTTTCGAGCACGTGACACACGATTGTAAACATCTGAAGCTGACGTTTTCATGGATCTTCGCGCAAAAACTACAAGGTTTACTTCAGGATTCGATCAGCGGCTACATTTGCCGAGGATGTCGCCGCGAATCGTATAAGGTACCGATATCTCGAGATACGGCCGTTGTATGTTATTTTCATGTTGCATTGACGTGTCATGAGACAATTCTGTGTTATAATAAAAAAACTTCACCGCAACGTAAGAAAAGTTCAAGCTTGCGCGATCTTGACCTTTACACCGTTAACTCTCCATTGTCCTCGTGTTAGCCCTGCGCCTCATTTCACTAAACGAACGTCAGTGTTAGCCCTGCGCCGCGCTGTTTGTTATCGTATTAGCCCTCCATTAGCCCTCCATTATTGCCCTCGTATTAGCGCTAACATCACATATCTCATTTCTTCAATTGCATAGTTGTGGCATAAAAGTTGACTCTAAAGCGGGGAGCACACACTTCTGCACAACGCATAATGCGTAAGCATAAGAAAATTGATTGGTCTATTTCCTTATGCACATGTCTATATTGACCAATCAATTTTCTTATGCTTACGCATTATGCGTTGTGCAGAAGTGTGTGCTCCCCGCTTAAAACTTTTTGACTTTTCATTTGCAACCTTTTAAATTATATTTGTATAATTATTTTTCAAAATTTTGTTAATACAATTTTTAGATTAGACTAAAAATGTTAACGTTTGATATATCTGTGCGCAGCGCTCATGTCAAGAGCAAATACTTAGAGTCGACGCGACTTGTTGCGAAATGAAAGTTTTACTGTTTTAGATTGACGTACCGATCGATATTTTATCCTCTTGCTCTTGAGCCTTGTGTCCACGATGCTAGAAATCGCTCCGAGATCTCGAACGGAGAAAGAATTAACCAATGACATTGGTCAAATTAACCGAAATGTTTAAATGTAATTGGTCAATTCTTTCGCCGTCCGAGATCTCGGGGCGATCTATCATCATGTGACACAAGATTTTACAAGACTGTTTGGGGGCCACTATTTCCAACGTCTGTTAACCTCTAATCGACCGTTAACTTTCAGAATAGCCAACTTCTATTGACTATATTCTAAAAAGTTAATGGTCGGTTAGAGTTCAACAGGTGTTAGAAATAGTGACTTTCGATCAGAGAAAACTGTATAGTGTATATGGCAATATCATACTAACATCAAGGAAACCCATAGAACTGTCTCCCTCCGATTTTGATAAGTTTTTAGTATGTTGTTTTCTAGATGAAAATAAGGAACACCTATTTTTTTATACGTGCCCATACGCGCGTTTAGGGGGTGAAACAACCCACCGAAAAAAATCGGCTTTTTTCTTTGAGCCGAATATTTCCGAAACTATAAAAGAGAGAAAAAAATGTTTAAACAAAAGTTGAATAATTTGAAGAGTACTTTAAAACAAGGACAAAAAAATTTTTTATATTTTTATTTTTTAATAAAAATAAAAACAATTTTATTTTATCATCATTCTAACTACTACTCTCGTACTACTTGCATGCATTTATATTGCACGTATATTGTTGCTGATCTTTAATTAGGCCTTAATTAGAAGTTTCACTTTATTTCATAAATACATATATACTTTTTTATAACTACATAATAATTGCAACAATTATAAAAAAATGTTAAAATTAAATGTTAACTTTTATATACCACATTTTATTTATATTGTACATGGAGGGATAAAAAACCTTAGTGGTGTGTAAGTCAATTTTTTTTTAATATTAACTTGTGTGCATGGATGCAATTTATATATTGTATAGATTCCATTGTACACGAGTCAATATTTTTAAAAATTTGTCTTACGCCACTAAGGCTTTTATCTCTCCATATACATATACATAAAGTTTAAAGTAATAAAAATGTTTTTGTACTAATTATATTTTTAAAATGTTAAAAGTGTTAGCATATTTAGAAATAACATACAGTATATAAAAATTTTTTTTATTTTTTTTTCCTATTGTTGTAATTGTAAAACATCCTTCTGTTTTCTTCTTGTTGTGTTTTTTAGCAGTCTGAAAATATAT